GTATTATCCAACAAATGTTATAAAGTCACGAGTTTTTTAAATACCAACGGAGCTAGTGTTTAAAAAACGAGTTATGCATACCATACTTTTTCTACGGCCGGCAGGTAAGTGAGATAACGTAGAGTTGGTAGATATTAACGATTGAGATATTTCATAAATGTGGTTTTCAAAAGATTAATGCATTTTTATTTCACTAACTAAATATTTACCGACGTATGGGACTCGGTGTAGTCCTTCCTCGAGATTTTAATTGTTTAAAAGTGTAACATGAAATTTACAAAATTCGGTAGATAGATATTAATAATGATTACTTTAGATTGCAGATTAGTGCTCATTATTAACTCATAGCAACAAGTATTTCAATAATGCTCCTCCACTAATATTCTTATAACCATGACGATAACAAATATGAATGAGGCAGTTACCATTCATTCAGGAAATGCAGGGGAAATTTTATTCAAATAAAAAGTACAACAAATTTTTTAATAGCCCATTGTATAGAATTTACGACACTTATGGAAAATTCTTGATGGCCGACATGTGATGCTTCCCGACCTTTACATTCACGTCGCCTGTCTAAAACTCTTGACCGACAACAATTCTTTCGGTCAACCGAGCGCGAAGTTTCCCGTTTAGTGATACACGAGACGACTTTACTTTCAAAAGATTAGATTTTTGTAATTTTATCACTGTGCGACTTTAATGGGCTCGGTGCATGATAACTAGAGTAACTTTTCACTTGTGCGTTTCGAAACTTTTATAATGAGCTATCCGTTTACGGGGACATGTTGGGCATGTTGAATGTATGCTGGTGCACTTTCTACACGATATATTTATTATTTCCCGAATCCAGTGGTAATTTTAAGAAATGGAAAGCTTCCGGATGGGATCAGCGGTTACGAAACGCGTAAATTATGAAAATTTGCTCCAAGTCTTGATCTTTGACATAATTGTGGTCATTAGTGCCGGACTCGCGGGTTGTACTGTTCTGCATTTTATTACCTAAAAGTGCAATAAATTAGCGCTTGCGAGCTTGTTGGTTGCGTGGAATGTAAATATGAGACATTTATGCAAATGTTAATTTATTGTTAGACGGTTAAGAGAATAATCATTGGGTTGTAAACGTAACTTATAATCGAGTCATCCTTGGAATTGGATCCGTATGTCTTCTCTGAAATTGTATATTAATTTCACTATACATAGAAATTTTTTTAAGACAATACAATTATTTTTTTAAATAATTTAACTTTTTTAACTTTTTACGTGTAAGTATTACTAAATTAAGAAAAATATTAAAAAGTTGCTTTAAGCACCACAATAGTATAGTATTTAAAACAATGCTCTACATGTACACATACGAAAGAGCAGCTTTCGCGTTTCCGTCTATCTGTCTGAGCTCGGCTAATTTTATACTTATTTTAAAGACAGAACTATAAATAAAAATATGTGTAGATTTTTCTGACGAGTATTTGTCAACTACTAAAGGTACACACGAAAGCAAAAACCCAAACTTTTTCTGTTTCTTCACGCCCATCATAAATAAATTTTAGCAATTACGTGACCTTCGCGAGTCAAATCAACTGAAATAAGGATTAGTTGCGGTTTTTAACGTTGAGTAGAATCTACCACAAGTAATTGTCTTCAAACACGTATCCGTAAATATCACTTTACTTATTGTGAGTTAATGTTTTATCATTACTATCGCTCAAAAAAAATTGCTCCGAAGATTATTTAGATGTAACTTCCCTCACCCATAAAGTATAGTACATCAAATCCAGCTTTTCCGAAAAATAAAAAAAAGTTGATTTTCAAAGTTGTAATTTCACATTTAGTTAATGTGACTTGTTGAGGGGTCATGAATCGGCGAAAAAATATGAAAGTACCAAGTCGCCCGATGGACTCGACTACAATACTTTCTTAGCTTACGCTCGGGAAGTAAAATCGAAAATTTTCCTTTATGTTTCTGTGACGAAGCGATTTTTCAGACCACTCACTTTTCTTCACGAATAATTATGTAATCGAGAAACACACCTATGTCACATCTAGGAAAATCAATGCAATAATCGAACGTAAGTAATTGTATTCATCCTTTCACAAACACACCACTTTTTCATTTTGAAATTACGAATTCCAAATGTTGTATTATAATATATTGGAAAACGTTAGTTAATTTTAATTTTCCTGTTTTATGTTTTTCGTACGTCTTTTTTTATTGTTGCTATTAAACCACACCCTTTTGCTGATAAGACGTTAATAGGATACAATTAGAACTACTTTAGCCATTTATGGAACTGTTGTTTAATTTATAAAACAATCACGCTTAATAAGATCTAGATGATTATAAACTAGTGTTTGTGTCAATCATGTTTATGGATTCTGCATTTAAAACACAAATCAATATTAACACACAACGACATTTTCAACAACTGAAGAATAATTAAAATTTACATCCGGTGCGTGCATTTTAGGTATTTTCGACGTTTCGTAGCTCCTAGAATATAAAATAGTAGGTCTCTGATTTTGTCTATTTGTTATACATATGTCCTCATTAGGTAAGTAATCTCCGCAACTTAAATATTTGATGTGGTTTCAAAATTTTGGAATTCCTCTTAAAATGTGCAAAATGCTATGGTTCCGTTCCTGTGATAAGCCATCCATTTTTTAATTTAATCGCTAGTTGGAATTTATCTGTTCATCCCTTTTAAAAACTGGATGACGTCATTTTAAAATTTTGCAAAGTAATTATTACTTTACCTCAGCTCTTGACCTTCTTATTTCTGTCAAAATGTATTTTTAAGTGTCAAAATTATTTCAATTCTAATTAGATAAATTTAACGAAAATATAACTTTGTCATAATAAATATAATTTTTAAAGTAATTGTCATATTTAATTTCAGTTACGGCGGAAAAGTAATGAATTACACTTATCCACTATTTGTGTGATTACAATTTATTTGTTCATTTGTGAAAATAAATGGAAACTGTAACGGAACTTAGTTTTGATTAAAAAAAGAAGAGTGGGTTGAGAAGAAAAAGGGTTGACAGATAGAAAATAGTATCTGAATGTTTAATCTTGTTGATATTTTGTACATTTAAATAAATGAATCATATTATAAAACTAAATTAGAAAAAAACTGGCGACGATCATAGTTTACGGTTGTTTCTTTGGTAACTTGCCCAATTTTTTGAATGCAAAAAATAATTGAATACAGAAAAATTTTCATGGTTATTTGTACCCTCTAAAATACAGGTAAACAAGTCACAGAGTAAGGGAAAAATAGATATATCGAGATCGAACTCCGGCTTATACATATTTCGTATGGTTGGTATTATGTATTTAAAGACCAGCTTTACTACGAGAAATATTGCATAATAATAATTATAGTAGTAACAAATAAAACCAAAGTAAATTCATAAACCAGAGGTACAGGAACATGTTATTTGATAAATTTTATATGGGATGTATTAAGACAAATTTTGAGATGACGTCATCAAATTACTGGTGTGGATGATTAGTCAAAGTTTGGTTAGCGTTTTACGATCTACACGATGTTCCTAATATACATATAAAATTTGACAATAATCGGTCCAGTAGTTTCGGAGATGATCTGTCTAATAAAAATCGACACAGACGGTAGACAGACGACAGAAAGCCGGAAAGCTTAGACCTACTTTTTCGTACTCTAGGTATAATGAAACACTGAAAAACATGAAAGTAGCCATTCGTCTCCTGTAATAGTTAACTTAAGGTCAGGAAGTATACGGTACCAAGGGATACCTTAAGGTTAAATAAAATTTAAATAGATATCCCTTTTAGCATTAGGAAAATTCAGCCACAAGTATTAAATTAAGATTTAAAAAAGTCGTTTCCTGGTGATTTATTATATCGACGACAAAATAAATATTCCTAGAAATTGACACTTTAACCTTTGCCACTTATTTACACAGTACCAAAAAATAATGAAACTTGTTTTCTGAACCTAACAAGTAAGGTAACGTCTATTTTCATAGTAAGTTGTAGTATTGGTGAGTCTTTAAATAAGTGTCCCGTCGTTGACAACAACGATTTATAAATGAAACAACATATAGGTATTTTAATTTTCCCTAGGACTTGAATAAATTTTGCCTCCAATTCAATGAAAATTAGTTTCTAGTTTCAAAAAAAAACGCCACCTACACGGTTTTTTGAAATATTTAGTATCAAAATATTTTGAGAAACATTATTCTAAACTTATTAATATTAACATTTTAATAAAAAATCTACTGATATTTACCTTTAAAACTGGTAAATAACTCCGTACCTACACCTATTTTCCCTTACCAGTCAATAAACACTTTCAGATTTTTTTTTAAATTTCCTGTTCAAATTATGACATTATACATACATGACACTCGATAGCAATTAAGTAAGTGTTTTAATGAGATATCATATGTCAGCCATAAAAATTAGAAAGAATGTTGTAAATGATATCTTTATTAATTAAGTAATTATAAGGATTTTTTATTGGTTCCAGTTACAAATGGTTTGTTAACTGCTATTACGAAAATAAATAAATAAATATCTACAATACAACAAATTTGAGGCATTTTAATACGTTTACTTCCAGCAATTAACAAATTACTTCAGGACATTGTAACTTGCCTAAGTAATCAACAAACACAGTGAAGTAATCATGTTAATCAAATTTTCTCTACAACCAAAATTTTACGTAGTACTAGCACTCCTTTGCCACTTTTTGTTACTTTATCAGAGCATTATTTCTTCAACGAAACCATTCATAGTTTCATATCCATCATTACTTTAGAGAAAGCCAACACTTGTATCCATAATTAGGCAGTACTTAAACAGATACTTACTTTCTTTTAGTTAATATTAGTACCTCTGTTCTTTCATTACTTTTTACCGTATCGAAACAACTTAAACGTATCAAGGAATTTAATAAAACACAAACAAATAGTCAACAATATATTGCAACAATCACAGTACTTTCCATTTATCGTCAATCGCAAGTTTTGATAAGGGGATGTACAGCCATAGACGCCCCCAAACACCCAACAGTATTGCAAATATAATCATGAAAGTTACTCTCAATAGCCCACATGAGCTTCTTGTACCCCGGTACCACCTGTGTAGCCAATCTACAGTCACCACCTTTCTGTACCAACAAAAAGTTCTCAGGTCTGAAAGCCGTATCGGTGTTCCATATGTAAATATCCGACTCTCCCTTGTATCTAAAGAAAATAGCTGCACCGTTATCAGTGCCCAAAAGAACGATCTTAGTACCCGGAGGCTTAGCGCCAACGTCGACAATAGCACCATTAGCTTGTCCGTTCTGTAGGTAGCAAACTTTGATACTGAACAGCCTGGGGGATGACAAGTACGTGAAATATAAAACGTTACCGCATGATTTTCGCGCTAGCGCTAAGTACAAGACGTCTTTAGCACCACCGGCGCTCACGGCAGGTGGTAGTACCACCCGGTACCCTTTCCCGCCGAAAACATCATAAACCAGTATTCCTCCAGCTCCAGCGTCACTGGCGTACACGAAAGCGTTACCATCCTTGTCGTAGTCAACGATCATGGACTGGAAGCGACTTTCGGGGGCCATGAAAGGTGACAAGTCCACGTTTTTGATAACTTGGCCGTTGGCGGCGTTCACACCTATGATTTTCGGAGGGCAACGTCTGACCGGTTGTTCCAGCGTGTTCGTAATTCCCAAATCCAGGACCCAGAGGAGGTCCAGAGGGTCTAGGAAGATGTCAACGACGTTCTGGAGAGCATCGCAGTTGCCTTCTTCTTGAATAGCCCAGCAAGGGAAAGGTTGAAGGGTTGCGTGACATCCGCGACCTTTTAGAGAAAATTTAGCTAAGGTGAAAGGGACTCCGTGCTTGAATCGAGGCAGGGCTACAATTGCGTCGTCTTTAAAGATCTGGATTTTGGTACCGATCACATTCTTGGGTACGTAGCGACCAGTCTGGAGGTAGATGTTTTTAGTGGCTTCGCACGGAAAGGCGAGGTTGGTACCACTGAGTTTGTAACTCAAATCTGGAATGAGATTTCTGTTGCAGTCACTGGAAGTACCCGTGATGAAGGCGGCGAGGAAAACGAAAGTCAGAGGGGCCCACATGGTCTGAAATTTGAAGATATTGTCAACGGTTTGGGACGAACTGATCGTACTACCTGTATACTTAGAAGAGGCCGAACAACTGAATGAAGATGTCTTCAGAGCTTCAATTTATATTTGATTGTGTAAATGTTTGGTTTATGGTCATGTCCACAATATTTGTTTAATGTGATGACCCTGGTTGCGAAAATTGTTGATTCAGAGTTGACCGTGACATGTCAATCACCTCTGAGGAATCACGTTTATAGCGACCTCTACACATCGCATAAAAGACAACCTGGACCCAAAGCCGTCATCATTTTTCTCCAACTTGACCGAAAGTACACACCACAAAATAAATCTTCGTGTATTTATTTTTTTATTTTACAGATGATACCAAAGGCCTTCATTTTTTCCTTGACTATAGTGGCAATCAGCGCCACCTGTGACCGTGAAATTTCGCGTCCAGTGGAATGGACGGGAGGCAACTTCGAGTGGCCAAATCCAGCTACCAAATCAATTTACAAGACATCAGGTCGCTTCATCCAGAAGAACGCCATAGCCACCCGCGCCCAAATTTACAAAGACGACGTCATCATAGCCTTACCACGATACAAAGCCGGAGTTCCAGCTACTCTAGCTAAACTTTCTCTGAAACATAAGGGTTGCGAAGCTACTTTAACCCCGTTCCCTTGTTGGTCAACGCAGGAAGAAGGTAACTGCAACGCCCTCCAATCAGTCGTCGACATTGTCGCAGATTCCAATGAGATCCTCTGGGTTTTGGACGTGGGCGTGGTCAACACTTTGGAAACACCAATCAGGAGGTGTCCGCCTAAAGTCATCGCTGTGAGTCTCAGAACGGGAAAACTCGTCAAGACCCTTGACTTATCCGGTCTGGTGGCCCAAGCGTCACGTCTCCAGTACATAGCCGTGGAGTACGCCCCTGATGGACGCCCTTACGCTTACGTCAGCGATGCAGCTACTAGATCAATTCTAGTGTTCGACGTCGCTGGAAACAGGGGCTACAGAGTCGTACTTCCTAAAGCTGTCGTAGGAAACGGCAAACGCGACGTCCTCTATATCGCATTAATCCAGAAGGGCTGCGGCAACAACTTCATCGTCTTCACTTACCTCTCCTCTCCCAAAGTTTTCTCCATCCGAACCGACTACCTCCGAGCTGGTTGCACCGCTGGAAGAATCATCGACAGTGGTACCAAAGACGGGAAAATCATCATCCTGGGTACTGATCTCGGTACCGCCATCTTCTTCAGGTACGAAGGCAAACCAGAAGTCTACCGATGGGACGCTACCACTCCTCTCGCCCCCGGTCTTCCAGTACTGGTCTACAAATCCAAGAAGTGCTACCTCTCCACTCAAGCCTTACCTGATCTCAAACGCGAAAGGATGAGGATTCTCGAAAGTAATTTCCCTGATTTTATCCAGAACACTGTAGGGTGTGGAGCTTCGCAGAGAATCACTTTGTTAGGTGGTTGCGTCAACCCCAAGAGTACTCTGCCTACGTAATGAAACTGTGTAAATAGAGAATGTAATTTTATGTTGAAAGAATAAAGTTGCATTAAGTGAACATGTTGTATTTGAGTAGTTTGACGAGGCGTTTCTCTAGATGGGGTGACTCGGTCGGGCACTGAGTGGGATGACCGGGGTTGGCGATGGCCCAAATTCCGTTTTGCGGACCGGTGTAGAGTTGGGATACGTAGGGTAGAAGGTCGTACGATTGGGCTAAAACGTTGTAGTATTCGGCTTGGGGCGGTTGCCTACAAAATAAAAGTTTTAATAGCACAATATACCAAATTGATAACGTCAATTCAAAAAACTTTTCACGAGTTTCGCCAAAATAAATTAACGTTTTTTTTTAGTGTTTGGTATTGTAGTTCGATATTATCACTCATATGTTTTCTCATTAACTCTCAAAGTAGCTTGTAATGTAGTAGATGTAAAATTTTGATCGAACTGGAAAGGGACAGAAATCTGCAAATGGTCCTAGGTATTTTTATTGTTCTTAAATTTTTACCGATTCTTCCTGTGCTGTCAGACTTAAGTGGAACTCATGGAACTGTAATGTAGAAGCATAAAAGAACTGTGCCGATTCCTTCTTATCAGCTAGGTACAAATAACCATTTTAATCCCCTGTTTGCATACAGACTGCCGCGCGCGAGTGACCAACACCCGCACAAATTTTCATTTTGCCACTTATTAGTGACTGTGACATTTACTACGAAACCTAAAGTTGCATATAACATTGGTTTGTCAACGGGACATTTTTCAATTTTGATTCAGAATCAGTGATTGTCAGTACTTTTTAGAAAAAAAATGGTCTAGACAGAATTTCCCTCGCCTTTAAATTCGATTAATTAAAAACTGATTTTGCAAAATTCTATTTATTTTATGATAACCCCCATAAATAAAAACAGTTTACCCACTAAAACATCACGCATTTGTCGCATGAGCAAAATATCAGTTACATTCACTACATGGAAAATATCGCACACATTTTTTTTTTGTAAAGTAATTGAGATAAAAATCATGCAACATTAAGAAACAGCAAATACAAGAATATAGTTTATTGTATAAAATTTAGAGAACCTTAATTAAGCAAAATAATGAGCGGACCTTACCAAATTGTTCGTAAGGATGATTAGAGAAATTTTGGTTAGGCTTTTATCATCCATACGACACTTCTAAAATTCATATAAAATTTGACGACAATCGATCCAGTAGTTTCGGAGTTCACACAGACGACAAATAGACAGACGTCAGACGACGGACAGACGGAAAGGGGGGACCTATTTTTACATCAATACATAAAACACGAAATATTTAGCATGCTACTTTTACAAACCTGATCTATACTTAATTACGTTAATAGAGTTAACAATTTGGTATTATGGGAAAAACTGGAAAATTACATAAACTTATTTAAATATGGAAAGAACATCGATGATAACAGACAATCACTCATCATCACTCATCATGATTAAAAATTGCCATATGGTGGAAAAATGTCATCTAGTAGACTAAGAATTTTATTTTTAAAATAATGATGTTGGCAACACCAATGTGTTCCTTGTTCAGTTCGACAGTTGCGGTCAGGAGGGGCCAAATATACCGTTATATATATTAGGTATATGATATACCGCCAAATACAGACGTTGTCAGATTGTGCTCTCTCAACTGTATATATAGTATAGATAATTAACGGGTGTTCAGTTGGAATAGTCAATGCCGAAACCAAAGAATATTTAGGTACAGGCGAACCTTGCGTTAGGCACCCCTCCTCTACACATAAAGATGCAATTTTACAGAACAGTTTTATTTATATTTTTTAATAAGTACGAAAAACAGATACTAAAAATATAAAAAAAAGAAAAAAAATCAAGATTATACATATAGGTATATAATATGTATAAATATCATATAAGTTCAAAATAAAATCAACATTAAATAACCTGTCGGGCCGGTTACATCTTTCTGAGTTTCCGTTCAAAATAAAAAAAGATTAATATGGCATAATGCTTGGTATAGTTTTGGAAATTTCATTCTACCCTATAAAATTTTATTGACGATAACGAGACGGACAGTAGTACAATGGTAAGAAATATTTATGACTCACACCATTTCACTCGAATTTGTCTGAGAACATTTGACACGTCCCTTTCGTTTAAAACTCATTACTATGTTGTTATTAAAAAAGCTTTAAACATGTGGGAATTTATTTGGCGTCATTCTAGCGATCTTTCACCCTCAGCATTGAAATCTCTTTATTGTTCACTCGTTCGGTCGAATTTTGATTATTGTTCTCCTGTATGGTCCCCGATTTATAAGGTAGACTCTGAAAGGTTAGAAAAAGTCCAAAAAAAATTTCTTCGCACTATGGAATTCAAATCTGGGCATCGACATGTTAAGGGTAGTTACAACTGGATAATGAACATGTTAGATATTCAGTCATTATTTAGACGAAGATTGATTGCTGATGCCTGCTTTCTTCACGGCATTATCAATGGGCATATTGATCAACCATATTTGTTAGGAAAATTATCCTTCTTGTTGCCTGTAATAAGTAGCCGGATAACACGCAGTAAAAACATTTTTAGGGTTCCAACGTCAAGTACAACTCTAGCCCATTACCATCCGCTGAAAAGAATGATGAAAGCTGCTAACGAATATTCAAATCGATCTGAAATTTCTGTTTTTGAATTGTCGAAAGCTTGGTTTAGGTCTCAGATTTCATTATATTATAATAAGTTAAAATTTTATTTTATTTTAGCTTAACTTTTTTGTTATATTCAGTTTGATAGATTTTATTACTTCTTTATATCATTTTGTATTTGTAGTAATGGTAGGAAATGATTATTTACTTTTGTTAGTTTACCTTGTTTATATATATATATATATATATATATATATATATATTTTTAAAATGGAGTTTTCCGTAAATAAAGTAAACATAAACATAAACATAAACATAAACATTTGCCAGGTAGTTGTATTCATAAAATAATGGTCATTTCTGTTCATGAGTAACGATGGTTCCTGCCCGGACCTGGATTATTCTGGTTTCTAACATCTAGGGATTATCGGCAAGCGACAACTTAAGTTGTAAATATCTCTTACTATTGTACTACTGTCCATTTCGTTATTGCCAATAAAATTTTATAGAGTAGAATGAAATTTCCAAGACTATACAACATAATTTTTGGACGAATTTGGCGCCCTTAGGCAAGGGCCTACTTGGCCTATAGCTAGTTTCGGCACTGGGAATAGTCATCAAGTTGGCTTTGCTTTATTCGTAGAAAAGCACGAAAAACGCTTGTGTTTTATTAATCCATAATATTTTGTATAAATGACACTTCCACGTTGTCAGCTCTCGTCAAATAAATGTTAGATTTATTGTAGACACACAAACTAAGATATTTATTAAACATTAAAAAATTGAAACTTGTTGAAATAAAGCACTTACATTTTATTTTATAAGATACGTTTCAAAGGTATTTTAGCGTATGTTCGAACTCTCGTAAGTTAGCAGTTAGTACTTTAAAAATTTATTGGTTTACCAGAAACAATGGCGTTTACAGAATTTCAATGTCTCTATCCGTTCGTATAGTTTTAGCTGAGACATTCTGTATATCAAAGACGTTAGCATTTTATTTATTTTTTCTTCAAAGTCCAACAAATATTAGTCATAGTACTTTGTAATTATATGAATAATTCATGGGGGTACGCCATGGATTAACTGTAATTCTTAACTTTGAAGTGTTTCTCTATACCTTATTTTGACGATATTTCAAACAAGAAAATTGTTTTCAGAGTAGTATTGATTGCACCATATATTTTTTTCTTCATTTGACATATGGGAAGGCTCTGAAAACAATCTCTGAAGGACGTAGTTCGTAGTTTAACCAATTTTTATGTAAATGTCCTACTTCTTTCGCATTTTTTGTTTCCAGAGACTTCCCTTACACTGGTGGCCAAAATAAAGTGGAACACCTCTTAAAAAAAATTTGTTGCGTAAATTGCACTCAAGTGGACAGGTATTAATTGAAAATGGCATTTAACCGTCAAGAAAAATTTGAAAGTTAGGTACACTGCTAAAAAAAGTGTCCTAATGTATTTTGTCCACCACTAGATATTATCCAATTTGAAAATCATGCGGTTACGGTATATGCTCTCAGTTGCAATGCCAACATCACTATTTTAAAATTAAATTTCTCCATACTAGAGGATTTTTTTTCGAGGATTCGGTATTACTGGTTTTTGAACATCAAAGTATTACTGAGACAAACGGAGAAAGGAGTTGTAGAAGAAAAATGGAGGATCTAAGTTGATTACTACAAAAATTTAACATTTTAGACATGTTTTATGTTTCTTGTTATCGAAATAAGTCTGCAAAATGTAGCCCCGCCCACCCTCCCTATCACAATTGTGATGATTTTTTTATTCGTCGTGAGCCAAGAGGGCGGAGCTTACTGCAAAATTCTTGTTTCTCTACGAGAAATTAAAAACATGTTTTTGAGTATCATTGTTCAATCAAAGAATATTATGTATACTAAGAAAAAAATAAAGCCAAAGATTAGCCCCACCCATACCCGCCCCGATCTCAATTATCAATTGTGATGAATTTTTCATTCGTTGTTAGGGGCGAAACTTAATTGCAAGATCCATATTTGTCTACAAGAATTTACCATTTTAAACATGTTTTAAGATTCTTGTTCTGAAAAGACAACTACGTATGTTAAGAAAAAAGGCAAAATTTATATTTATGTTCCGCCCACCCGCCCTATCTCAATTGTGATGATTTTTTTTTAATCGTCGAGAACCAAAGGAGCGGAATTTAATTGCAAGATCCTTATTATTTCTCTACAAGAAACTACCACATACGACATGTTTTTGTGTCTCGTGTTATTAAGAAATACTATGTACTCGTATATTAAGAAAAAAAGCCAAATATTAAGCCCTACCCATACCTGTCCTGGTCTAAATAGTAATGAAATTTTGATTCGTTGTCA